TGCTAGTTTCCACCATTTTAATTTATAAACAAATCTTAACTGCGCCCTGTTCACTTCTATTCTTTACTATAAACATTTTCAAGTATGTTTACAAAGCAGCAATATATGAACAAAGACTTCATTTCCTTAACTGAGGGGAAAGAGTACTGGTTTCATTAATTCACAAGAACTTGGAACACAATGAATAATGAAATGCCAAAAAATGTCAAACAAGATAAAATCTTATTTGCCATTCAATAAGACTCATTAAAAGGTAGAAAATTCATGATCTACTATTAAAGGTAGATAGGGATATTATTATTCTAGTAGAAGGTGTTAATATTAATGTCCAGACTTTCATGTAGAGAATTGTTAAAGATTGTATAAAAATTGTATAACATGTTCAATAGGAAAATAATGGAAGTTGTAAGTCATGTCAAATATTGCAAAAATATAACAAGAAATTTGAAAAATAGAAAACTAACAACAATGTTACCTTTATGACAATAATAAGACTTAATATATAGCACCTTTTCGAGTCTGTACTAAGCGCTATAAAAATAATCATAATTATAAAGTAATAACTAAAGAGAAAAGACTATTTTGAATATATAAGTTTTGAGATTAGATTTAAAAGCAGTTAGGTTGTAAACAATATTTATAATAGTTATGTTGTGAAATAATAACACTAATTATGCACATCTTCTAAATTAAAATCTGATAGTAAGTTCAAAACATCAAAATCTTTGAGGAGCACACTTTGAAAACAAAGTACTGAATTCTCCAAAATATTTTAATTGACAAAACTATAGGAAAATTTATGTTTTACATCTAAAGCATGCTCATTTAGGTACAAACATCTGCATGCAGAAAAAAAAACTTGATGTAACTGCATCATAAAAACATGATAAACAAGTTTATAGTCCATTCAAACACTGCATTGTTTGCACAATATAATCATATTTTTGAAAGCCACATTTGGAAATGTTTTAAGTTCCAAATTAATAGTAACCAATGATTTAACTCTTTGCTGAGGCAAAGTGAAACTTTATGGATAAGTTGAAATGATAAAGTGTTTTTATATTAAGCTTGGAAAGAAAAATGATTGAATAAATTGTACACATAAAGGTCACTTTAAAAGCATGAAAGTTTAAGTTTCTATACCCAATGAAAGTACAAATTATACTATAATGTTGTTAGAGTAAAGATACTGAGACAACTTCATACTTGCACAACATTTTGGTACTCAGCTACAAGAAGGTTAATGTCCAACAGAGCATGTTGGTCCAATATTCTCGCTAAAATAGTTSCTTTYATCTCCAAACATCTTCTACAATTYCCTCACAATGATTTTCAAAGACCTTAATCAATGTTTGTTTATCCAGAAGTGGATATGGAAACAGTAAATCAGCTTTGCTGTTGTACAACTTGTTTACAGATGTAATTAATGCAAATTTGATTCAAAATTATCATGTGCTTAAACTAAGACACCCTTTGTTATTTAACAAAAAACAGGTCATAGGTGATTAATTATGTACTAGTAAAGAAATATTTTTACTTCAAAGTTAACAATACCCTGTGAAATCTTTGGAACAAGAGTTATTGTACAATTAAAAGATTGCGGGTAAAATAATGAATCATTATTTTGGGAGAGTAAGGAATTATAAGAATTAACATTTTAAAATTGATGTTTAATTATTTAGTACTGGCAGCAGAAATGTTATCCTTTCCTGCAGGGACAGCATAAATATTTACATTAGATGCAATATAAGATATAAGTTTTGAATACTATAATAATGAACTTTTATTTGTGATGATTTTTTGCTCATTGTGCATTTTTAAAAAAGCAAAAAAAGCAAAAAAAAAAAAGGATCAGTAAAAACAACAAATTGAATAAAATTTTTATGAGTGATAATGTTTTGCTCATTGTGTATTTAAAAAAAAGCAAAAAAGCAACTACAAAAACACTAAAAGCAACACATTGCATATGAATGAAGCTGATAATTCGGGAGAAGGAAAATATTCACTATACTTTAGGAAAGAAAAGGGAGTGAAAATTTTTTTTGTGTGTGTAATTTTTAGTTCATTACGTAAAAAGATTGAAAAAAAAAACATAAACTATAATTAGTTAATATTACAAAAATGATTAGTCAAAATAAGAAAAAAAGAACAAAATCATTGATGCATTGCACATTTGAAAAAGTTTTCAAATCCTTCACTCCATTGAGAATAAAATAATAAGATTAGAAAAGTCATCATTAGCATAATTTTGTTTGTTAAAAAAACAAATTGTTTGTTTATACAATATGTACACGACCTGTACACTGTACAGTAATATGTAAAAACCAATAAAATAAATCAATAACAMAKTGCAGTTTGATAAAGCTTTCAAATCCTTTTGATGGGCTTCAATAGCAAAGCAAGAATCAACCCATTATTATTCTTAAGTGGAAACAGCATGAAAGATGCTATGTAATTAACTTTGAAGAAATTTAATCAACCTTTTAAATTAAATTTACATGATGAAATTGAACATCAAATCAAAACAACAAAAGATGAGAAAGAGAGTGGTAATTAAAAATAAACCTAATTACAAAGAACTTTGGAAYAGGTTCGATTGTGGCCTCACTTCTCTATGATAGTAAAAACGTCTTTAGAAGCTTTCACCATCTATGGCTTCATCAGAGACTGATATTTGCTTAACAAAGAACTTTATTATAATATAGAATAAAACATCTGAGTTATAAAGCTACAAGTTTAATGTTGTACATTATTCTACTACACAAAACTTTAGAGAGAAAAAGGAATGGATAATTAAAATGACTAAAAAAGATCATTTGGGTTGATCTCTTTCTTTTTGTCATTTTAATCTATTCCAAATTACTAAAGTATTGCATTGAATTTCTCTTTGAGGAGTACTTTGCATAATAGTCTTCACAATAGTCTCCTTCACGGATCCCTGCACCATCTTGAAAGGTAGTCGTGCCTTTGCATCGAAGCGAGACAACCGTTGGGCATGCAATGATAGAAACCTTCTTTCACACCTACAGACAATTATTCACAGGTATCTATCATTGCATGCTCAACGGTTGTCTCACTTCGATGCAAAGGCACGGCTACCTTTCAAGATGGCGAAGGTAACCGTGAAGGAGACTATTCCCTGCTCCATCTGACAGGTAGCTGTGCCTGTCTAGTATTTCAGGGGTCATTTTGGGTTAGGTTTAAAAAAATGTTATGCTAATGAAAGGTGGTCATWTTGGCAAAACCTCTATTGTTCAACATGATRTCTTCTTACCTAATAAGACCTTGCTGCTCTTCATCRTCGTCGTCATCATTGGACTCAATTTCTTCACCACTAGAGCTRTTATCAGGTGATTCTCTCCAYGTTATTTCTTTTCTTGCTGGTTTTTGTGGTGTTTTCTCTGGTGGRCTTCCATCAAATGCTGCCCAGTTACCATCYCTTTGTTGGTCTGGTGGTATTGSTTTGCCTGTCCAGGAACCGTCATTGGGGTGTCCACTCCAATTTCCTGGAAAATACATAATCTATCATGATAGTGATATGATAATTCCAACTCTCAGTTGGAGGGTATCATAGTAAAAGGACCTCTATACAACTATTATCAAATTCAATAATTCTTAAGGTAAACAAAGTAATAGAAAATTAATGCCGTGACTACATCTTTATATATGGGAAGGAGGTTTGTCCTGATTTGTATAATACAATTTTTCCTTTTTTTCTTTTAAAAATAATATTTTATCTTAACGTTTTTAGCAAAATATATAGTTAAGCTTAGTTTGAAATATTTGCACCCAACAAGCTTTATGGGCTTTAGAACTGCTCRGTTGCAGATGTCATTTTAGACACGTTTCAGCATATTTTACATGGAACATGAGCACTAGCTTTCACTACTCCAGTATTAATTTTGATTAATGGCATGCACTCAAATAGAAAGTCAGTAAACCCATTATTTTATAAAACTTTGAATTGCAGGCATAAAAACCTGCATTTCTAAAAGATCTACATGTACAACCTACAGAATTAAATACAGTGGAGGGATACATTTCATGTTTGAGGGGGGAGGGGTGAATGATTTTGAGAACGTTCACGCAGTAAGAAAATATCCTAAGCTATTGTAAGAGAAAAAAACATCATCCCCCCTCTCCTCCCCCCCCCCAAAAAAAATGGCACCCTCTCTACTACCCCCTCAAACATCAAATGGTCAGCCTTTAAGAATACTTTACCATCAGACTGAGCATATTGCTGCCAATTAGGATCATGGACTTGACCTTGACCAGTGGGGCTCTGAGGACCTTGTGAATGTGGGACTTGCCCATGGGCAATATTCTGATGCAGCATTGGACCCCCTGGATATCCTACCACACCAACTGCATAGAATCCCTGCTGTTGGGTAGGACCTTGGTAATTTTGACCCTGCTGCTGAGAGGGTGGAGCTTGGTAGATTTGTCCCTGTTGTTGTGGGGGTGGGGCTTGAAAATTTTGTCCTTGCTGTGGGGGTGGGGCTTGATAATTCTGTCCTTGCTGTGCAGGTGGGGCTTGGTAACTTGGACCTTGTTGCTGAGGGAGTGGTGCTTGGTAATTTTGTCCTTGCTGCTGAGAAGGAGGAGCTTGATAGACTTGCCCCTGTTGTTGAGGGGGTGGGGGTTGGTATACCTGCCCTTGCTGCTGAGGGGGTGGGGGATGACCTTGGTAGATTTGTCTCTGAGTGGGCGAGACATTTTGGGAAGCAAATTGAGCCTGAGTAAGTGCATTAGTGGATTGCACTTGATATTGCTGAGGCATTTGTACATGTTGYGTGCCTGGTGGTGGTGGAAGTCTCTGCAGCATTGCCTGCTGCTGTTGCCAGTTTGATGGTGCAGCTGCATTAACAGCATGCACTGGAACTTGCACAGCCCCATGGCCTTGTGCCGCTGCAGCATAGCTTGGCACATTTCCAGCTGTTACTGGAACAAAGTTCTGCTGGTTCTGATGCCTGCTTGATGGCGGAGGCTGCAAAGGTGCAGGAATCACACCAGGTTGTTGTGTGTGAACTGGTGACGTTACTGTTTCGGCAGATGGATTTACAGCGGCACCTCCTATTGCTCTGGATGTCTTGGTCATACTGTCATTAAAATAGCCTTCATTTTTGTCACCTTTTTTGTATGCTTTCTTCTTTTTATATTCTGAAAAAAAAAAGAAGAAATAAATGGTTTGTTAGGGTAACAACAATTATTGTGTTGGGTATAGACCTTTCAAGCAAAGTTTCCATTCACTTATCAAATTCATTCATTAATAATTCATAAGGTAAACACAATGGAAAATCATTGCCATTGCCGTAACCGCATCTTTATATGAGCAAGAGATTTGTCCTGATTTGCATACGACTTTAACTTCGATTTTCTCTTACAAATGAGATTTTACCTTGACGTTTTTAGCAAAATATTCTTTAGCTTATGTTGGAATTTGATAACCAATATAAAATATTTGCACTTGACCTTTATGATCTTTAACACTTAAATGTGCATTAAGCAGGCATGTCGGAATTATGCGCSAAAAAAATCAAAATTATGCGGAATTTTTTCCCCATATTATGYGGAGAAAAGGGTGAACTATGCGGAAAATTATGCRGGATGACATCATCACAGGAACGTAAACTTTGGGAAATTTTACATATATTTAGGTTATTGTGTTTGTTTTTCATGCAAAAATCCGTTTTTATCTTAGTTACGAAGTACAGAAGGCAGTACCAACAGAAGGAAAGATCTTTTTAGACTTTTTCGTTCTCGCACGCTTTACATCTCACTTGTATCATATGCCATATTGGAATTTGTCACGTGATCTAGTAAGGCACAGGGTGACCAGTAATGCTAGTGCCCAGACTCTTTTCTGATGAAATTTTGAACGCCTGGTACATTTGTGAAGCCCACGAAAACAAAACTATATTCGGAAAATTATAAGCATGTTTGGGAGCGTTTTTTGATCAAAAAAACAGTCAATGGACCACAAAAAACATTAGTAGAAGGCAAGTCATCTTAAAAAATGGTATAACATGGGAAAAAAACACGAATTATGCGGGATTATGCGCGATTTGGTAAATTATGCGGAAAGGGGGCAATTATGCGCGTCCGCATCC